TTGTTGTTGTTGTTGTTGTTGTTGTTGTTGTTGTTGTTGTTGTTGTTGTTGTTGTTGTTGTTGTTGTTGTTGTTGTTGTTGTTGTTGTTGTTGTTGTTGTTGTTGTTGTTGTTGTTGTTGTTGTTGTTGTTGTTGTTGTTGTTGTTGTTGTTGTTGTTGTTGTTGTTGTTGTTGTTGTTGTTGTTGTTGTTGTTGTTGTTGTTGTTGTTGTTGTTGTTGTTGTTGTTGTTGTTGTTGTTGTTGTTGTTGTTGTTGTTGTTGTTGTTGTTGTTGTTGTTGTTGTTGTTGTTGTTGTTGTTGTTGTTGTTGTTGTTGTTGTTGTTGTTGTTGTAATTATGACATTAGGCGCTAGTAAAAACGTACGGGCATAATGCATAAATAATGAGCAAATGTTATAAATTTCAATTTATTGCTTAGAAAGTATTTTTAATCAGGCCTTAATAATTTATATGCCGAATTAAGTGGCATCTATTATCTTAGCTACTAAATTCTGGCTTAATGCGCAGTTACAAAATTAAATTCGACAGCGGATAATTGAAGAATAAAAACTTATTGACTTAGTAAATAAAAGTAACTAGTATTATATTTAAAGAGAATAAATTAAATATTTATTCCCTGTCTTGATTTTACATTCTAATTAGCTTTAATTGCGTTGTGATATTTTAAGAGAAATTATTAAATAAATCATGTTTATTTGATAATTTCATATTATAATAGTGTTACTTCATCGATTCTAATAATAAAATGGATAATGCGCTAAGTTGCGAAAGTTAGGAATAGTTAATGTAATGAGAGGAAATATTCATGTTTTTTTGCATAATAATGCTCCAGTATAATTCTAAATCATCATTCATTTATACATTTATTAACTTTATTATTTAACAATAATTTAAGGATTTAGAGGATCCATTTTTAATAATATAAAAAATATAAAAACTTTAATTGAGAAATTCTCTCGATAGATACGACTAAGACAAAATCTATTTTATTTTATAATAACAATCCCTTCTTTTCCATAAAAGGTTAACATAGTAATTCATGGCGTATGGGATACACACATACAATACACACTGCTACAGGCTCTATAGGTTCTACGTGAATATTTTGGAGAAAAATCGTGTTTATGAAGTTGCAATACTTTCCATTGGTCCATTGGTTACTTTCCAAATAACGAATAGTCGAAACGACGCTGAAAGAATAAACTTAAACGTTATCACTTTTTTTTTTTTTTTCCTAGTAAATAAAAACTCCTACACAAAGTTCATTGAACTAAGCGAATTGTCAACTCAGCATTTGATAGATGTGTTCATCATTCTTTAATATACATGCCTCTAAGTTATTTCGATATGCTCGCAATGATATTTGTTGTATTTTGGTACAATGTACAATGCACAATGTACATCTTATTTTTCTATGCCATTGTATTTCATGTATTACGGGCATTAATGTTATACTAGAATGGTCTTTTCATAACTAATATTATCATAATGTTGCGAAAAATCGATATTATTTATAAGAAAGTATCAATTGCTAAGGGATCCATAATATCAAATGTATCTCTATCGCATGGAGGTAGATCTATGGGAGTTGATAGAGTTTAGATTAGAGATAATACTTATCAGAAAATCTAACTGGTTAAACAACTTGTAGTTTAAGTAGTTTAAGTAGTTTGAATATTTTAGAGGAGATACCGACTAAAAGGTAGAAGCTATTTTACACTTTATTTCTCTGCATGAAAATGGAATGAAGATATAAAAGTTTGGTGAGCCACCAATTTTATTGCATTAATCGAATCTCTTGACTTTCTCGAATTCATAATCACCTTTCAAATAATAGGCAAATCTGATTGTATGGAAATTCGTTTTTTAGCTAAGCGGGACATATGTTTTTCATGGCGCTGGACTAGATCCTGAATCTAGTCGCGCGTACATTTTCGGTTTGATTTGATTTTCGACAAAAGAAAAAGCCATAAAGTCCCAAAGACAGACTGTCATTCATATTCTATATGAAAATAATGAAAATAATAATATCGGACAAGTTTTGTTAAAAAATCTTCGTTACTTTGCATTAATAATGTCATATTTAAAATGAAATTTCTTCTCTCAATTTTTATTCGCCCTTTTTTTATTATGTCGATGTGGATTGTTAAAAATACGCCAACAATTTTGTATTTCGAAAACCGCATATATGTTCCGTCCACTAAGATTTATCGAAAATACAGAATACGAAAGAACTGAAAGCAATCAGAATATGGTAATCGAATGTGTCCCAGCGCGATATAAGTAGACATATCCACTTGAAATTACATTAATTTTTTGGCCCGAATGTTCCATAATGTTTATTGTTAAGCGATTGCGAGAGAAAATTTATAAAGTCCGTATTCCATCGAGCATATATCATAAGCAATCGGAAGACATCATCGGGACACGCCACATCGAACGATACAATATTCCTAGTCAAGATTTTTAATAAATTTCATCTATTCTATCGGAGAAGATTAACAGACCTTTTTTTCCCATCTTTCTTTAATATGTAAGATCGGTAAGCACGGATGGCAAGCCAACGAAATTATCCGCGATTGGATAATAAATTTCATACATATTGATTTAGTTTAGTCGTTATATATTAGTTAGAGCACTGAACATTGTCTTATTCGGAATAGAAGGGAATAAATGTAAGTAAGAGGGAAAAACGCGTAAAAGGCAAGGTTAAAGAATGTGAAAATTTGTTTATTTATTAAGAAAAGAAGCTTCTCGAGCAGCAGCCCAATAAAAGTAATGTGAATCGCGCATAGCAATTACGGGTGGAAGCGCGTGGTTTTGAAAATCGTTGTGCGCGCCTCGATGAAATTAAGTTAATGTTCCTAATTGTTGGATGAGCAATTCAGCTTACAATTATCTTGGCGAGAAATTGACAATCTGCCGAAGAGTTTTCACAATATAATATAATGAGCGAACTAATTTTTCCCAACGGAGATATACGTTTGCGACAGAGCGAACGTGATATTGTTCTCGAACTCGATGGGCCAAAATGAGCGACAACGATACGAAGGTAGGAGATTTCAAAATGAAGAATCGGTCGGTTGCGATGGGCGTATATTCGTGACGAACGTGTAATGATGGGCCAACAACGTCCCCGGTATAGTGAAGAGATACGAAAACGTTTTAAATGAGTTTAAAAAGTCGGCTTTCGATGGTTCTTGCATTGGATAATTTGTCGACAAGTTATATCGAAAGTTATGTCCAGCGTTCAGGATGTTTGTCGGGACACCGAGTGTGCCGAGTGGGTCGAAGTCATGGATAATGGGCGAATGAGTAAGCTTTATTGATACGGAGGTGGTGGAAAAATCGAAAAGTCGCGAGCAGATTGGAGGTGGTGGTCGCTGAGGTCGTCAGGATTTGCTTAAAATCGGTCGTTGGGAGCGAGCCCTCGGCGATCGCAGGAGCGCCGTGCCGATCCTCCTCCGGTGCGAACGAGGAGAGAGGAGCGGCCGTGAGAGGCGTCGGGAGGCGGTCTTTGGGGGAGGCGGGGCCTGCCGGCGTGGGGCCGGGGGCGGCATGCGCCGCACGGCGGGGCCGGGGGTAGCCGCGTGCGCCCGTTTCTTTGCGGCGCGGTGGTAGCGGTAGCGGCAGCACGTTGACGGCGGTGGTGGCGGCGGCGGCGGCGGCGTCGACGGTGGTGGTGGCGGCGGCGTTGGCTATGTGGCACGGTATGTGTACTGTATTGTTGCGGGAGGGGGCCGGTATTGCGACGGGGCGGCTGTGGCGGCGGCGGCGGCAAAAACGGCGGCGACAACGTTGACGGCGGCAGAGGAAGAGAAAAGGGCTAGAGCGCAGGAGGA